CAGAATGTATTAGAAAAATTATATAGAAAGGTTTATTGTTTTGTGTACATTCAAATGTAAGATAAAATATATGCAAAGGGACTTGACAGGAAGTCAAAGTTGAAGAAAAGATTTTGTTGAAGAAAAGTTGAAGAAAAGGGGAAAAAATATTTACTTTCATTATTATCATTTTCTGTGCGGGTGTGGGTGTGGGTGTGGGTGTCTGCACATATGTGTGTTGTTGTATGCAACGTTTGGGAGGAAATAAGACGGTAAATAACAAATAACAAACTGAATATTGATGTATGTAATTTTTATTTCTTAATTATATTTAGTTGTAGTATGGCTGTATTGTTTTTTGTAACATAAAACCATTCAATAAAAATTATTTTTTTAAAAAATCGAGCAACCTTTCTGTCCTCGGATTTCATCCGTCAGCAGCCTTTCTCCGCAAGCCAAACAGAGAGTACTGTGCTGACTGCATGGTCACTCCGTCACTATAATTATGCACACCTTGTTGGATCAGAGAACCAGTTTCTCTCTGGGTAGCAAAGCCTCAAAGAAGAGGATGGCAAGGATGGCATTTTACTATATGTCTTCACGTTTCGATTTGGCCCCGGGTCAAAGTGTATTCTCTTCAGGTGGGGGAGGTCGGTTTAATATCCTTTTAAAATGACCACCTCTGTCAAAAGGTTGCATGAAGTTATCAGATTTCACAAGGCAGAGCTGTTGAAGCAAAATAGTCACTTAGGTAAGAATAGTATTTGAGTTTGATTGTCACTGGGGTTTTTTTTTAGAGGATTTGAACAGGCTAAAATACCAGCAGCTCTGATCGGTTTAGCAGATATGCTAGACTAAAGACCGCTAATGAAGTGCTAAACTGGTTTTTAAGAGGCTGATTTTTCTCCTACTCCTACCTGGCACCATTCCTTTGTGTTCATCGGCTTGGCGCTTATCTAATTACTAACAATTCTGCCTACAAGCTTTCTTCACCCCTTCTCCTAAACCTTAAAAATAATAGTGATAAAATTATAATGAAAACCCATAACTTAACAGCTCTACAGGTTCAAGCACATCTTTCCAGGAGGATTGTGTTTGCTGCTCACAGCTTCTGCTGACTTTGTTAACCTACATTTCCCCCCCTATAATACACTACACAGAACAAGCACCCCCCCAAAAAAAATTTAGTTTAGTTTTCAAGACACATTTACTGGCATCCATTTCATTATATAATATATGTGCGTATAATATTATTCCTGCTGCCACCTGCTGCTCTTCTTGATAGTAAGACTAATTTTCTTTCTATCCGTCATAACACATACTATGTGTGACAATAATTCTCAAATAATCACTTCAATATAAATCTTCATACAGAGAAACTGAGGCTAAGGACAACTAATCCTAAGTGACAGTAACCTTAAATGGGATGAAAGAGACTGTTTCAATCATCCGCAGAGGGTTAAGATAACATTCATCTTAGTTAGCTTTGAAGCACAGAACCCTTTGTTTTCTTCCGCTTAATGCTAAACCTTTGTTAGCAAGGATTTATTCACATGAATCCTTATTTGACACCTTGTAACAGCCAAACGTATACTGTGCCAATCTCTGAATGGCAAAAGCGTCTTTTGTGAACAACTATTTTGCTGCAGCCATCACTTTTAATTATCATTTTTTTTAACTTTAATACTCCATGAAAGAAAAGCTAAATGTGCCTATGCAGAATGAGAAACAACCTGACGGGAGTATGTATCTGAGACAGAGGGGGGGGGGGAATGACAACCTAGGGTATTCCAGGTGGGGGCTTAATAATGTGAATAAGTCACTCAGAGATCAATGGGTTGTTGGGCATAGATACAGTCGTACCTTGGTTCTCAAATGCCTTGGTACTCGTACATTCGAATGCCCCAAACCTGGAAGCGAGTGTTCTGGTTTTCAAACATTTTTTGGACGTCCGATGCAGGAAGCTCCTGCAGCCAATCGGAAGCCGTGCCTTGGCTTTTGAACGTTTCGGAAGTCGAACGGACTTCCAGAACGGATTACTTTTGAAAACCAAGGTATGACTGTATACCCATGGAAAGGGTAAATCTGGAGCAAATGGGGAGAGGAATGTGAGCTGGCATTTTAATTCCTGTGACATTGTGTGGACGCTGCAATAAACTTCCATGATTGAAGAGCAAGCTGTTCCCAATAAACGTCAATCTATTTGCACCCCTAGAACACATCAATGCTACAAACGTATATCAAATTTCTATCAGCGTAACTGTTATGGCTTTAAAAAATAATAATAACGGTGAAATGAAAAATTTAAGGTCTTATATATAATAAATGTTCATAAATGTACCAACCAAGCGCATACATAGATGTGTGGACCACATGTCTGGAGCAGCACAGGAGGACCGCCCTGAAACCATTTTCACTCCCAAACTGACCAAATGTTTTCTCTGCAAGGAGGGAGGAGGTGGGGGAGCCTCCCGGTAGTCTTTTTGTCCACAATTCCTGTCTTAAGGGTGTATTTGTGTATGAATAGGGTGAGCCCGTGACCTGGCTCAGGAACTAAGTATTTGTCATTACAAGAGACTGGCCAGGCTCCCCAGGGTATCCAATCAAGTAAGCATTAACAGGTAACCTGCCAGACAGGAGGTAAACAACACACTCAGATTCTGTTGTAGACCACCCTTTCTGTGATGTAGGTATGATGTGTCTGGGGTGGTGGTCTTGAGCTGCACCCGTTCTGTGATGTATGTATGATGTTTCTGGGGGTGGTCTTGGACTCCAAGGCGGGCAATTTAAAATGTCTATATAAGGGCGGGCACAACTTGGTTTGGGGTCCTCCTCCTCTCCTGCGTGTGAAGGGGGCACCCTGTTGCAACAGTTTCAATAAAGATCAGGCTTACTAGCTGCTTTGCTTCTCATTATTCTCTGGCTGGCTTCTGTTATTTTCTCCGACCGATGGAGAACCTGCAAAGGACTCTATAAGGGCTCTTGTGTCCCCCATAAGGGAATAAGGGCAGATTTTCATTTATTACAATGGAAATGGTTCTCTGGTGAGAATACTGAGAATCAACCCTCTGATCTAGAGCTACAGATTCCAGGGAAAATGGAAAGACCTTTTCATGCCTGCATTGTACAATAATGGAACAGTGCTTTGCTGTCCCTGATTCCCAGTGTTCCCACAGTGAATGGGAAATGTGAAAGGCAAAAATGTATAAAACAGAACAAAAAAACTGTTGGAGATTTAAAGAAGAGGAAGGTACATTTTACCGTATGTGGTGGGATTGCAAGATCATAAAATTTTGGGGGGAAATGATATACAATGAACTGAAAAAAAATGTTTAAGATAACCTTTGTTAAAAAACCAGAAACCTTTCTGTTAGGTATTTTAGGACAAGAATTGCCGAAAGAAAATCGGATGTTATTTATGTATGCTACAACAGCAGCAAGAATTTTAATAGCACAAAACTGGAAGACTGGAGAAGTACCATCAAAAGAACAATGGCAAGAAAAGCTGATGAACTATGCAGAGTTAGCAACGTTAACGGATAAACTACGTGAAAAGGACAATAGTGACTTTGAAAAAGAATGGGAACCTTTTACAACTTATTTGCAGAAACAAAAAAAAATGGACTCGTTGGCAGGATTTAAATAAACATTTACAATTTTATTTACAGAGAACAAGAAATGTAACAGGTGATCAGGTAATAACATAGTATTATGTACAGACAGCAGAATGTAACATTTGATGTAATAAACCAGAAACGGAAGTTGGGGGAAGTCAACAGGGAGGGGGGAAACTAGAAAATGAATGTTAAGTAATGATATTGGATATTTGTTGTGAGAAAAGAAAAGCAATTAAAATATTTTTTTTAAAAGGAAATGTGAAAGGAGCACCTATGGGTATACAAAGGTGCTTTTCATCATCAGAACCCAATGCAATTGGGGTCAATTGTAGGCACATGTGATCCTTTCACATGCCCTGCTCAACATGGGAACATGGGACAGTATAGTGAGAAGATGGAAGGGAAGAGGATGCTCATCCTTCTTCCAGTAAACATGTGTGAAATTGACTTGGATTGGGACCGAGCCACATGTTCCTATGTGCAAGTACAAAGGTTGTAACAACTATTTCAGCTGAAGAATAGATTTGTACTGAATGTGATATGTTTCTTTGCTCACTTTTTTTAATGGTTTAGCAACAAATTATAGCACAATGATGATAATATATCATTATCCCCCAACATACTCTCTCTGCTTTTAAATCTCTGCAGGACAGATCTGTTTCAGGCAGAGAAGGGCCTTAAAATAGAAAAATAGAAGAGAAGAGTCAGTTATCCTTCTTGAGCAAATATAGACAACTGCAACACAAAGATGTCCTGGTTTTCATCTGTGACATTTTAGAACATAAGGCTCTCACTGCAGGTGGCCTTGGGGGCGAGCAAATTGCTGTCTCTTGTCCTAGATTTTGAGGTTTCGGGTACGAGGGAAAAAAAAGATAAGGTACTCATCTTAAAAAGTAGAGACATCACTTTGCCAACAAAGGTCCGTATAGTTAAAGCTATGGTTTTCCCAGTAGTGATGTATGGAAGTGAGAGCTGGATCATAAAGAAGGCTGATCACTGAAGAACTGATGCTTTTGAATTATGGTGCTGGAGGAGACTCTTGAGAGTCCCATGGACTGCAAGAAGATCAAACTGATCCATTCTGAAGGAAATCAGCCCTGAGTGCTCACTGGAAGGACAGATCCTGAAGCTGAGGCTCCAATACTTTGGCCATCTCATGAGAAGAGAAGACACCCTGGAAAAGACCCTGATGTTGGGAAAGATGGAGGGCACAAGGAGAAGGGGACGACAGAGAATGAGATGGTTGGACAGTGTTCTCCAAGCTACCAGCATGAGTTTGACCAAACTGCGGGAGGCAGTGGAAGACAGGAGTGCCTGGTGTGCTCTGGTCCATGGGGTCACGAAGAGTCGGACACTACTAAATGACTAAACAACAACAGCAACAACAATTGTTGCGGAAATCCTTTGTCCAATGTGGGGCTGTAACCCCCAGCCCTGAGATTCAGAGCCTCATACTCCACCAACTGAGCTATCCATGAAATCCTTGGGAGGGGAAGCATGACCAAGAAAGGTAGAAAAATATTGGGATAAGAACATAAGAGCCCTGTTGGATCAAACCAAACGTCTATCTTGTCTAGCAGACAACCGAACAACCCGATGTCTAAGGGAAGCCCAAAAGCAGATCCCGTATGTCACAGCGCTCTCCCGACTTATGATTATCAGCAACAGGTATTCACAGGCATAAAGCCTAGACTCTTTCTGCCTTGAAATATCTTAGATACTTAAAAAAAAATAAAAATCAGTACTATGCAGTAGTTTGCCAAATTTCAGATACTATCGTCTGTGCCCACATATCCTTTTCACATCCTTCACAGGCTTATTGTATCCATAGCCACCTGCGGTAAGGAAATTACAACAGATGGCGGATCTCCATAGGATTATGTGTGCTGAACCACAGATCCCTGGCTATATCAGCACCTGTAAAACTGCTCCTGGACCTGATTAAGTGGTTTAGGAAAGGTAAGCGAATGGAACAGAGGATAGTGAATGTAACAGAAGGGAGCACAGAGGCGGCTTCCATTTGCAGAGGCCTGTGAGCCTTGAATGAAACCGTGAATAGAAACACCTGGTGCCTCTAGAAACTGCTCAGATTATTTATAATCCCAGGGGGGGAATGGACAACGCGTTAATGCATTTGTGATATATGCAGAGGAAAAAACTCCAGTGAATCTCGTTATAACAAATATTGAACGATGTGAAATAGGAAGAATATTGGAGAATGTTGCCCAAGTAGTGGAGAATATGGCTCAAAATTGTATTCCCCTTCTGTACCAACCATAACAGACTGATTCTTGTTTCAAACTTTCTCCATTATGCTTACTTTGCCATTATTTCTTGGCCTCTGACTCTGATCCTCTGACTAACGACTTATTTACTTTATATGTTTTTATAAGGGTTGGGATTAAGAGTGGCTGGGGCAAACCAGTCAGATGGGCAGAACAACAACAACAACAACAACAACAACATTCTGCAATTATTCCAGAATGCGTCAGCTAGACTGGCAATTGGGAGTGGCTGCCGGGGAGGGAGGGATAAAAATAAAATGTATTACAGTGGTACCTCAGGTTAAGTACTTAATTCGTTCCGGAGGTCCGTACTTAACCTGAAACTGTTCTTAACTTGAAGCACCACTTTAGCTAATGGGGCCTCCTGCTGCCCCTGCGCCGCCAGAGCACGATTTCTGTTCTCATCCTGAAGCAAAGTTCTTAACCTGAAGCACTATTTCTGGGATAGCGGATACCTGAAGCGTATGTAACCTGAGGTACCACTGTATTATTATTATTATTATTATTATTATTATTATTATTATTCCCCTCAAGAGTTACGATTCTCAGACTGGTTTAACAAGCCAGCCCTCTTCCCAGGAAGCTCTGGTAATTGAAGCTCTGTGAGGGGGGAATAACAGTATTGCCTAACAGCACCCTTAAGAAACTACAGTTCCTAGTACTGTTTGGAGGAAGCCATGACTCTTAAAATGTTTTAGTTGTGTGGATATCGCTGCAGACCAAAACAACCATGCAGTTCTGCCAACTTTTTGCGCTGGTTACATCTATCTGGGGATCTAGTTCTGTTTACCGTGGCCTCTGATGAACCTTTCTAACAGGTCGACAGCCCTTCCTAATGAAAGGTTTTCCCTGCTATAGTATTATTAAGTTATTGAAATTCTTGAATTTGCATAAAATATGTGTAGTTGGGAATGCGCTCCCTCCCTCTGTATTATACCTATATTTGTATATTTCATAGGAAATTGATCTTTCCTTCTTCTTCCTAATGCAGGCGTTACCCTAGCAAAGATGGGTAGTTCACCATACCTTGAATTTTAATAAATTCCAACACAGGGAATAGCACATGCTGTGCAGATGAGATGAAAAGGTGGACTGAAGCTGTTTTTGCCGTGTCTGCTTTCTCTGGAGGTCTAAACATACGGCCAAGATGAGAATGGGTTAAGGTGGTAAAATTACTGAAATTATGTCAAAATCCAATTTTATAGACTGTGGCTTTTAAAAAGAGCTTCTTAAAAGGGAAACACTTTTTACTTTCTCATACTTATCAAATCTCATTTAAAACTCCGAGAAATTGGTCTACAGCTGTCAGTCAATTTTTATTTTAAATATGTAAATGTATAAAAGATGAGAGATAAATTGGCTAACGGTACCTTTGCAGAACAGTGTCAAAGTTTATATGTATGTGTGTATGTATATATTTTTATATATATGTATATGTATATATATATGTGTGTGTGTGTGTGTGTGTTTGTTTGTGTGTATGTATGTGTGTGTGCTCTTTCTCTTTCTTTCTTTCTTTCTTTCTTTCTTTCTTTCTTTCTTTCTTTCTTTCCTTCCTTCCTTCTTTCCTTCCTTCCTTCCTTCCTTCTCCTTCTCCGTCTCCTTCTCCTCCTTCTCCTTCTCCTTCTCCTTCTCCTTCTGTATACAGTTGTACCTTGGTTTTCAAACAGCCTAGTTCTCAACTGTTTTGGCTCCTGAACGATCAAAATCCAGAAGAGAAAAGGAGGGAAAAGAAGACGAGGAGATGAGGATTACTGGTCAAATCAAATACTCCCTTGAAAGTATATCATGACTCTATTCCTAAGCCTATTTACTCAGAGGTTAAAGGTAAAAGACCCCTGACCATTAGGTCCAGTCGTGACTGACTCTGAGGTTGCGGCACTCATTTATTGGCCGAGGGAGCTGGCGTACAGCTTCCGGGTCATGTGGCTAGCATGACTAAGCCGCTTCTGGCAAACCAGAGCAGCGCACGGAAATGCTGTTTACCTTCCCGCTGGAGTGAAACCTATTTATCTACTTGCACTTTTGACGTGCTTTTGAACTGCTAGGTTGGCAGGAGCAGGGACTGAACCATGGGACCTCACTCCGCCATGGGGATTCAAACTGCCGACCTTCTGATCGGCAAGCCCAAGGCTCAGTGGTTTACACCACAGCACCACCTGCGTCCTTAACTTAGATGTTAGTTCCTTTCAAATCATTAGAGCCCTGAAGAAGGTGTTATCTTCATGCCAGGAGCCTAAGCTTACGTTCAGTCCTAAAGCTGCACAGCAAAGAAGAACCAGATTTTTTATCTACTGTCCTGAAATAGTGCTTAATTTATTCTATTCTGAAAGGACCAAGATGCATAATTTAGCATAGTTTAAATAACTTGTCAAAATATTGCACGATCGTTGATCTCCCCCCCCCCTTTTTGCCTCTGATAGGTTGCACTTGAGGTAAGTACCTCTGTCATCTTACGCTTGTTAAGTTACGGAGAGTCACAGTGAAGATGGGACCTTCGCTGATACATCTCCAGGGGTTTTGATATGGAAGACTTCTCTTTGTTTTACCTGGAAATGCAAAATGTCCTTAATATTGCTTCATAGTGTTCAATGCATATCTCAAAATCATCTGTGATGGCATGGGTGTGTGTGTGTGGAAGAGGTTCATCTCTTAAAATTCAAATAACAAAGCTTTGCTTTTCAGCGATGCAAAATGCTAGTAGCAATCTTCACACCTCAGAGCTGTGAATTCTTCTTGCAATTAGCTCCTGTGGTAGCTAATTAGTAAAATTACTGTTCACTTCAAGTACATGATGAGTGCATAAAAAGCTGTGCGAGGTTTTTTTCCATTATTTGTCAAATGATACCTTTTTGTTGCAGAAATAAAATTTAAAGAGGCTATATAAGCATGCTGTTCTTGGTTACAAATGCAGCATACGTTTCGTCTGTAAAGATGGTATAGAATGCTTTCATTCAGGGTGAATTCCCCCTTCCCCAAAGGGGTATTGATAATCAGCTCTCGATGGTTTCCAGAAGAATGAAGTATCTCTGAGGAGATCCATTAAAGCTAAAACAATTTGAGTAATGCAATGCCAGTCTCCTTAAGAAAAATAAAAATCTCCATTTTGAAAGGCCCCTTCATAGCTATGGGAAGTGAGGCTTGAGAAAGCAACGCATCTTACAGGAAACGAACGATTTTCCAGCCTATTTGTCAATTCAAGTACAGTACATTAACGACGCAGTGTTAAAACTTGGAGCACTAAAGAAATGATTTATTGATACTTGAGGCTTGTTAAAACAGGTTAATGTCAATACAATTAGCTCTTGGATCAAGTTGGCTGGTTCCAAACAGAAAACTTGAAACCATGGCATCCAACCAATGGGGAGTCATCAATATGGAGTCATACCTTGGGACAAATACAGAGTCATATCTTCATACTTTTAAAATAGTCTTGGGGTGGTTTGCCTCTGGTCTGCTCTTGAAAGAATGTTCTCAGATATGAGACAAATGGGCAGCTGCCTGTGTTTCAGATGACTAAGGGATGAACGTCATCGAGTAGCAGGCTGTTGGGGCAGCAAATGAATTAGGCAACTTCTCATCCTTCTCAGTTAAACCATGTCAGTAAATGGACAGGGAACAGAAGGTCAACGTGGCTTGCAAAGATCTGGGTTCTAATTAAATTGATTTGAAGTAATTCTGGCAGGAGAGTGAAGAATTTTTTTCTTCCTTTATTGTCAATGTCAATTAGGAAAGACCAGGACAAAGAGCTGGTTCGTAACATTAAAGATGATTACTTAGCATCACGGTCTCAATGTACCCATCACTTTGACTGATTTTTTGAAAAAGCAGATTAAAGAAGGCTGAAAGTCAAATACTTTTGCTTCTGTCTAGACCAGCACTCTTAACTGCTGTCCTATGTGTCATTTGGCACCATGGTTCCCCTGTGTTCTGATTATACATGCAGTAGATAGGAGCAGATCCACCACAAAGCTGTGCCTTCAACTCCCAAGGCACAGACCCAATTCAGGAGGATATATAATCCAAGGCTACTGAGAGATCAAGGAGAACTAGCATGTTGTGTTCCCCGCTTTTAAGTGGCAAAACCAGCTCTGTAGCTGGATTGAAATGAGTTTAAATAATTGGCTGCCTCCAATCATGTCTGATCAGCCACCATCTTCTTGAGCACCTTCCCCGACAGGGGATGTTAG